TAGGTTAGATCCCAGTACCGGTCTATAGGGCCGAAGGGGTATGCCAACACCCAAATAAGCTAGGCAGTATATGATTTATATGTTTATGCACTAGGATGATATGTGGTAGAAGTAGGGGTGAAATAGTCCCCGGTACCAGTCGAAAGGACCGAAGGGGTAGGCCAGCACCCTGATATGCTAGGCTAGGTACTGATCGACAAGACCGAAGGGGTAGGCCAGCACCCTGATATGCTAGGCTAGGTACCGGTCGACAGGACCGAAGGGGTAGGCCAGCACCGTGATATGTTAGGCAATTACCGGTTGAAAGAGACCGAAGGGGTAGTCTAGTACCCGGATATGTTAGACAGTATACATGTTGTATGGTATGTGGTATGTTGGGGAACTCACTAAGCTTTGTGGTTACGGTTTTCAGTTTTTGTTTCAGGTCCTTCTTGTTCGAAGGGAAAGGAGCCGGCACTGTAGCAGCGCATCACACACACAATATTCCGCATATGAGATTCTTGGGATTTGTACTCCGACATTATTACTATCTGATGACATGCTTTTGAGACATATGATCTATGGTTTTTATGAAATAATATAACTTGATGTTGTTTTCTATAAATTGTTTTATAAATCGTCAAATCAAAAATGAAATTTTTGGTCTTGAATTTTGGGATGTTACACATCCTCTCATCAAGGATCTCCAAAATGTCCTCCTTGACCGTACTGAAGATCACAGAAGTCTGGTCAATTATACTGTGCGTAATCTCAACTGGAATAAACTCCCTCATCTGATCATCGAGCTGCCCGGCTCCAGAGTCCGAGCCTGATCCCCTGCCGGCAACAAAACTGCCAACTGGCCCATCATGTAGCGTCACCATGCTGGAAACATGCCATAACAACCATCCAAATACTCATCCAATATCGAGGGATCACACATGCACTACAAGTTTCCTGTTCTTATCGCAACCCTTCTTCAATAGAGTACGGATCCTCTTCTTTCGGTAGTACGGGCCCATACTACCTTCTACATCTATCCATACTTTCCTCAAGAATTGCCTTGACTCCACCAAGTCCCTTTCACTAATACCGCTCCCAACACTAATCTCATCCTAGGCTTGACCTAGGGTAATCTCCAACTCACTCTCTGCCATCAACTACATAAGAAGTTCCTGCTACCTTTCCCTAACTAGCTCACGAATACCATTACATATTACTAAGAGCAGATAATTCTTCGAATGAGAGTCTCTCCCTACAACGGTTAGACTCAAACGAGAGCTGTGAAATAGGGCTAAAACTAACCTTCTGAAATTATTTAGTCCTCGTAATATGTAACTTAACATATTCGTTTACTAGTTAGTTAAAGATAACTAAAACTCCTAAGAACACAAAGCAAGCAGCATTCGGGCATTGAGTAACCAAAACCAAGCATATCCTAATCAGACCATCATATCACTGACTAATCAGTACTAGCATGCAGTTCAATAAGCACATACAGCAGGCATATAAGGCATCTTCCAAGATCCTTAGCCCTAATCTAGCATGCAATTCCCATACACATACAGTAGGCATATAAGGCATCCTTCCTAGATCATTAGCCCTATTATAGCATGCAATTCTCATAATCATATCATATATCATAGCAAACATGTATGGTATCTTGGGGAAACTTACTTGAGCTCAGACGATTGCACGCATCACACTCCTTGTTCTTTATCAAAAACTCTTAATTTTAATTTTTGAAAAATTATTTTTCTTGTAAAAACCGCTCAAACCCTCGATATGAATCCAAACACCCCCGAAGGTGTGTCCGAATCCCTCAAACCAAGGCTCTGATACCAACTTGTAACATCACAAAATTCATGACCAAAAATTTCATTTTTAAATAGGTAATTATAAAAACCAGTAATCTCAAAACATTGATAGTGTCATCCCATATCATAATCCAAACCAATACGTCAACAATCAAAACATGTCATAAGAAAACACATCAGTGTACAACTCCCAAAGATCTCATAGAGCGAAAAATCATAATGTGATGCGTTGCGATCATGCCGACTCCTTTCCTTTCGAAGAAGAAGTACCTGAAACCAAAACTGAAAACCGTAAGCACGAAGCTTAGTGAGTTCCCCCATCATACCACATAAATCACATATTGTCAGGCATATCTGGGTGCCTGGACTACCCTGTCAGGCATATCTGGGTGCCCGACCTACCCTACTGAACGTACCTGGGTGCTCAACCTACCCATGTCAGGCATACAAGGGTGCCCGACCTATCCCTGTCAGGCATATCTGCGTGCCCGACCTACCCTCTGGTTTATTTCAACCGGTTACGGGGTCTATTCCACCCCTAACCCTACCACATAATAACATATCATAAGCATATTGTCAGGCATATCTGGGTGCCCGACCAACCCTCCGGTTTATCTTAACCGGCTACGGGGTCTATTTCACCCCTCCTACCACTACCACATAATACATAGCATACAAGCACATAAATCTCTACAGATAGTGGCATACCAGACAATTATCACAAAGACAATCATCTCTACTATAAACAACTACTAGTGGGCCGGCATTGGTGCCTTTGACCCACCCATACCGGGAAGGTAACTCACCTCGAATGCTGAAACTCACTGCAGGAAATCCTTAGCTGCTGCCCTGACGATTTCCTAAACGTCAATTATCAAAACAACATCTAATTAACAATTAGGTTCCAAACCATGTTCCATAATCCTTACTTGGGGTGAAATGACCGTTTCACCCCTGGCCCAACAAGATTCACAACCAAGGCCCAAAACTATCAAATCCATAAAAACCCATCAATGGCCCAATTTTCCAAATTGGGTCCAACCCCTTACATGGGCCTTTCCCTAAAGCCCATTTACTTTTCTGAACCAATGATTTTCCGATGGCCCAAAGGTCCAAGCCTATTGGGCCCAATCAAGGCTTAACTATATTGGGCCCACTAAGGCCCAATTCATCATCCAAGGCCCATTAGGGCAAGCCCACAAGGCAAGCCCAACCAGAAGTCCATTACTCTAAAATCCTTAGTCCATTACGAGCCCGAACCAAAGGATAAGTCCAATACCAGGCTAGCCAACAATCAAAGAGCCCAAAACTTGCACAGGTGATGCTCATGTCGTGAGCACCTTATGCTCACGTCGTGAGGTCGTGACTTTGGCCCAGAAACTTCCTCGAACACGCTCTCACGTCATGAGGCTTCATTCCTCACGTCGTGAGTCCAGATCTGACTAGAAATGAGCATTAAGCTCCTAATCCATTAAGCTTTAACATGGGACAATCTAGAGGGTCTTCCTTGACCCCAAAGACCATAATAATCGAAGCTTTTTAGTCACATATGTCCAATACATGACTTAAACACCAACTTAGGACAAAATGAAGGAAAAAGGGCCAAGACTCAAACTTGGTGTCCAAAACCATGACCAAAGTCGAGATCTAGAACTTATAGGACTTAAGGTACCAACATAATCCATAAAGTTGCCAACTTTATGGATTCCATGCATGCTAACCAACATTACAAGCCATGAAATGCATCGAAACTTAGATCTAGCAAGCAAGGAAAGGAAAGGCATGAGCTTGAAGACTTAAAAAGGTCCAAAAGCTCCTCAACTAGCTGATAATGAAGCCAAGATGCTAACAAATGCACCACGAATGATCTTCTTCTTCCTCAAAGGGCTTCAAAACTTGAAAATCTCTTGAATAACACCAAGAATGACCAATGACTTCAATGGGGGCTGAGATTAGGATTTCCAGAGGTCTTGGCAGTGAAAGAAGCCGATGAGAAGCAACCCTAATCATCTCATACCTTTAAATACCCGAAAATTAGGGTTTTGGTGCATCAGGCGCTCCTCACGTCGTGAGCACTTCATGCTCACGTCGTGAGCCTTAAATGAGCTTGGTCAATAAGTCAACGATCACTCACCCGAACTACTCCAACTTCAAACGGTCATAACTTTTCCGTTTCAACTATGTTTTTGACGTTCTTTATGTCCACGGAAAGGTGGCGAGAAGCTCTACACATCTATCAACTTATCCTCACCTCAAAACCTTCCGAACGAAAATCCAAAATTCATAAAGAGCTCGAACTGTCACTTTACCGATATACCCTTTGGCGCCAAGGCATAACCCAAACTCTCGGATCACCTCAATTACATTATCCGTACCCAAATGGGTCTAGATCTCTCTTTTCCAAAGGTCCTAAGCCTTATGATAACCTATCTTTAGGTCACAGTCCCGAATTAGGAAAGCGATTCGGAACAGGGCGTTACAGAGAAGAAACCAGATTTCAGTTATTATGTTGTGTCACCTCTTCATGCAACTTCCATATTCCTTTTTATACATGGAAGATGGCGGTTAATGGTAGTTATAATGGAAAAATCAATGCCATGTCATCATAACGTAGTTAACAAGTTTTGGTGGGAAATATATATTTGGGCCCTTTTCCTCTGAGCACTGCCCCTTGCAACCTTTTACCCCAGGGGCACTGCCTCCAGACCCCCGTATTCTCGAGTCAATATTTATCACTCCAAATATGCACTCCACACCTCCGGTCTATCTCGATAGTAAATTGAATGGTTAGTCAAAAGATGTACAACCTTCTAAAGCATACAGTGTTGTGTATGATGAAAAATCGTTGTGTGCGGATTAACTCTAAATAATAATAGATTAGTCAACAGTTCTGTAATGCGTATTTTAATGGAATGATACTTAAATGTGTTAAAACGTTTAGCCATTTTAAAGAATTGAACTCTATCATAATGGATATCATATTGTCATTCAATAAAAATATAGAGTTCAATAGTTATTGATATATAACTAACAAACAATGATTTTTTAATAAAATATTATATTGTATATTTGTAGAATTTAGTGCGTTGAAGGAAAAAGAAAATAATGTGTCAATATAAGTTCAATGAATCTTATAAATTGTATAAGGGGATGCTTAGCTGCCATTTTTGTCCTATACAACCAAACATTCCACCATTTTTTACTTTATTAATCTTCTCCAACTACCTCGTTAATTTTGTATTCATAATGATTTCGTTTTCTGACAAATCTTGGGCAGTTAACATGCAATATAATGGTTAATAACTTTGGGTCTGTGCATCGAAAAGTTAGGATCTAAATGCAAAAGATGAAGGAAGATACAGCTCAAGTAAAGGTTGCTGTGCCCATCAGAGACTTATGGAAGGCGATGTCGAGTGACATCAGGCACATAACTACCAAGATTTTACCGGATATCGTGGAAGAAGTCGAGTTGCTTGAAGGAGATGGTGGCCTTGGAAGCATTCTAGTCTTCAAATTCTTCCCCCGTAAGTCTTGATTCCTTGTTGTGTTCATGTTTATGGCTTGCTGACTTTTGGTAGTATATATGATCAATTTCTTGATATTTCTTGGATTTCTTCTGTCAGATGTTCCGAAAGTGAGCTTCCAAAGGGAGAAGATTGTGGAGTTTGACGAATCACTGCATCAGATCGCTCTTGAAATACTGGAAGGAGGGCATCTGGATCATGGGTTCTCCTCATACACGACTGGTTTTAAGTTAACTGCAGTAGGAGAAGCGGAGACACTCATCGACGTGAAGGTTTTGTATGAGACCAAACCAGAATATACTCATATCCCAGGCGATACAATAAAAGCAACATTCCTTTACATCAAAAACCTCGAAAATTATCTGTTGAACGCTCCTTCTTGATTTGATTTTGTTGAAATGTTCTTCTCATGTGTTTGTTATACGGAGTCTATGAAAAGTTAAATAAAGGAAGCACTCTCCTAAGATGGTTATTTCGCTTGCAAACAATCCCCTTTCCATTGAACTAACCGCGCGCATACCAAGAAGATGCAAACAATCGTGGGATTTTGAATAGTAAAGTGGTGATTTCACTGAAAAGTTTGTTATTGTCTGAGTATCTAATTTATAAATTAAAAGATAATTAAGGAGCGACTATAACCAAGGACATTGGCTTTATTATCATCTGCCAAAAGATGCTTAGATCAATGGAAAGAGATGCTTTGTGGCCAATTTTGTCCTATACAACCTAAGATTCGTACATATTTACTTTATTAATCTTCTCAACTACCTAACGTCATTTTGTGTTGATAGACAATTCATCATCCGACGAATCTTGACCAGTTAACATGCAATATATAATTTCTCAGAACACATGGTCGGCACATCGAATAGGTTAAAGATGAAGGAAGATATAGTTCAACTGAAGGTTTGTGTGCCCATCAGAGACTTATGGAAGGCTATGTCGAGTGACCTAAGGCACATAGTGGCCAAGGTTTTACCAGATATGGTGGAGGAAGTCGAGATGCTTGAAGGAGATGGCGGCCTTGGAAGCATATTGCTCTTCAAATTCTTCCCACGTAAGTCTTTGATTCCTTGTTTGGTTCATGTTTATGGCTTACGTAGGATGATTTCTTGATTTCTTTTTCATGGATTTTTCTGTTAGATGTACCTAAACTGAACTTCCAAAGGAGAAGATTGTGGAGTATGATGAATCACTACATCAGATCGCTCTTGAAATACTGGAAGGAGGGCATCTGGATTATGGGCTTACAAGATATACAAATGTTTTTAAGTTAACTGCAATAGGAGAAGCGGAGACTCTGATCGACTTTAAGGTTTTGTATGATATCAAACCAGAACATACCCATACGCCTGGTGAAACCACAAAAGAAACATTACATTATCTCAAACTCCTCGAAAATTATATGTTAAATGGTCCATCTTGACTTGATTTAATGGTGTTAGAATATTCTTCTGTGTTTGAGTTTCAAAATCTATGAAATAATAAAAGAAACACACATGTGAAATGGCAAATTATATGAGAAAACAATGTGTTTCTTTTGCTTCCGAACAATACCCTTTCCATCGAGCTAACCACGGCCAAGGAGATCAAAACCGAAGGTTTTGTCAAGAATTTCTTGCAATGTGTTGTAACAATGGAAGCAAAACAATGAACTGAAGAGAAACTTAGTAAGAAACTTGAAAAAGATGGCCACTTGATTTGATTTTAATTTATTAACACGTATGTACCAAAGAGAAATATAAAGCATGGAGGACATTCTAATGCATTGAACTTTATAGAGTAATGAATTGTCACATATCAATCCATTTTCATATAATTTTATTAATTTTATTCCTATAATGTATTAAACTCTATAAAACAAACGTAACATATTAGAAAAAAATCATTTATTATTAATATTTTATATTTAAAAAATTCACTTTTTCTTATTGAACGATTCATATACTTTAAACATTAAATCTAAATATGACATATTTGTATGGTTCAGTTGAAAACTAAGTATTCCATTTCATTTAACTATTTCATTAAACTATACATTTTAGATTTTGAATCTTGTAAGGTCTAAACCAAAAATAGAAGAGGTAATAAGCAACCATTTCATTTAACTATTTCATTCAACTTTTTGACCCTCTGACCAACACTTCTAAATAATTGCAAATTTGACCTTTGACTTTATTTGGAGTTGGTGTAGGGATGAGAATTTGACCCGAAAACCCGAAACGAACCGAAACTCGAACCGAACCGAACCGAATTAGGTCCGAATAAACAATTCGATTCGGTTTTCGGGTATCTATATGAGGCTTATTCGGTTTTCGGGTTATTCGGTTCGGGTTATTCGGTTCGGGTTACCCAAATAAAGGCTTATTCGGGCCAAAAGGACCGAACCGAATTTGAAAAGTCACAATTTTTATTTTCTGTTTCAGCATGTTTGCAAATTTTTAGCCAACTTTGAAGTGTCATAACGTCTTCGTTATTTGTCCGATTAGCCCGATTTTTTTTTCAGCTTGTAGTTCACAATTTAAACTTGCGTTATTTTGTTGTATATTCAGTGAGATACAAGCCTTTAAACATGGGGTATTAAAGCTGTGTTTTTCTGTTTCAGCATGTTTGCAAATTTTTAGCTAACTTTGAAGTGTCATAACGTCTTCGTTATTTGTCCGATTAGCCCGATTTTTTTCGTGCTTGTAGTTGACAATTTAAACTATATTTTACACTGTTTAAATGCATTATTTGGTTGTATATTCAGTGAGATACAGACCTCTAAACATGGGGTATTAAAGCTGAGTTTTTCTGTTTCAACATGTTTGCAAATTTTTAGCCAACTTTAAAGTGTCATAACGTCTTTGTTATTTGTCCGATTAGCCCGATTTTTTTTCTAGCTTGTAGTTCACATTTTAAACTACAGTTTACACTATTGAAATGCATTATTTGGTTGTATATTCAATGAGATACATGCTCCTAAATAAGGAGTATTAAAGCTGTTTTTTTTACAAAAAAAAATACTAACATTTACTTTTATTATAATAAATCCTACATATGTTCGAGATGTTTTGACCCCCACAAAAGAAGATTTCAACATCTGTAGAGCTATGGTTGGATTTCTCGAGAAATTCAAGGTGAAAACCGACATAGTATCGACGTCAACAAAACCGATGACACATCGTTTTTTTGGAGAAATATGTGATGTGTACAAACACAAATTCTAACTCTTTTTGCACATTTGAAACAATTATATATACTTTGTATTATTTTTAATTAACAAATTTGTTCCTTTAAAAGATTTGTTATGAAATCATAAGCTACAAAAATTATACAAAAATATTTATAATCACATTGTAAATGTTATTTGGGTTATTCGAGTTATACAATCATAATACGGTTTATCCGGTTCTTTTCGGTTGTAATAGGTTCTTAATCATCTTGTACATGTTATTTGGGTTATTCGGGTCGGAACCAAACCAAACCGAACAATACCCGAACCGAACCGAACCCGTATTGCGTATTTGGTTTGGTTTTCGGTTCATACAATTACCCTTATTCGGTTCTCGGGTTATTCGGGTTCGGGTCGGTTCGGTTCGGTTCCGGCCTGAATAACATCCCTAAGTTGGTGTATCTACAAAACTTCACTTTAGTTCAAACTTAAGGGTGACACCTCCAATTTCACGGCTAGAAAAGACTGATTTATTTATGCTTATTTAAAATCAAAGTATCATTTTTGAAGAATAATATTGCGGAATTTGTTTCCAAAAACATGATAAAGATGTTATCAAAGCATTTCCGAAGAAATGTATTTTATTTATATTAAAAACATTTGGATGTTATCGTCAATACAATACATAAGCATAAACGGAAATAATACAGGCCTTACAAACATTTGTTATTCTGCTAGCCTATAATCCATAAATCTCTCATCTGATCACCACACTTGTGCTCTCGTGTCACTACCTACAAGAAACCGAGTAGGTCAGGCTTAGGAGCCTAGTGAAAACATAAGGTTTTCAACCCACAATAATTAAACTCTTTTAATTATATATTTTCAAATCATTCAACCTGATTATCCATTCCTGTTATCCTCACTTTCTGTCCCTAAAACATATAATTCAAGAGACTTATCCTAAGGATCATCTTCGGGATAAACAATAATACATAGGGGATTCCTTACCAATATATGTCAATAAGGCAACCATTAGGGGGGGAGTACACATGGTGAACACTTAATTCAAAAACACATACATGTTGCAAGTCTGCTAGCATTCCACTGGACTATCTCGAATAGTTTGCGGTCGTCATCTATACTCCTCCAGAAGACTAGATCATCTTTAAAGTCAAGGCCTCTTATCATCTATTTCATCTTTCATCTATCGTCATCTATATCATCTTTCATCTACCCATCTTCATCTAATATATTTATAGGTATAAAAATACATATGCAGTTTAAATCATATAAAACATGTGTAAATTATTCATCTAGCATAGATATCAGGAACAGAAATAATAGACACATATAGCATGTAATTATCTTAAATACTTCATATCTATGTGTAAGATGAAAGTAACTATGCACTCACTTGTTAAAGTGATGATTCGAAACTCGGACAGCGGTTCGCTTCTAACAACTGACTTTTCCTTTGACGTAACCTAGTATCATTTTCACTAAGTCTTAGTCTAATATCTTATGTGACTGAAATTAGTCTAGACCTATCAATCATTCCAATTAATATTGATAGCTCTATCAAATGAGGATCAGCCAGACATGACAGTTGGGACCATTTCGGCGTATAGCCTTTTTGAAATCCAACAACCAAGCCAACATAACCATTCTAGACACCTCTCCCGTAAGTAGATCAATCGGCATTATAACATGTAATCGATAATAAATCTTATTTATAAGTTCAGAAGAACGACTTATGACTATAAATATAAGTTATACTTAAAGTGTAGTAAGTGCAGCTTAACTTACAGGAATTTTTAGCAAAAAGTCGGGAATTACGCTGGCAGAATCTCGACCCGAAAGCTCCTTTTTTTCGGGCTCCTAGATACCTCAGAGCCTCGCTAAAAGTAGTCGGAATCCCAAGACGATTGACGCTAGAAGAGTGGGAGTTCTCTAAATGAGTTAGAGTGAAAAATGTGGTGAATGAAGCAAGTCTCGCAACTATTTATAGGTTGTTCAGGAGGCTTTCACATCGTGATACATGGCCTCTCACATCGTGACCTTATGTAGGCACCAAGGCTTCGCCTCTGGTGCTGACACGTGGCACCGGATGCTGGTAAAACTGCAAATCTTCAAAAATTCATAACTTTCTCATACGAGCTCCATTTTTGACGTCTTTATATCCACGCGTAGCTATCGACGGGATCTACAACTTTCATTTAGACTCCATCGGCTAATTTTGACTTTATTTTTAAAGTTATATTTTTAACAAGCTTAGACTGTTAAAGTCCGTTAAAAATTCATAACTCTCTTGTCTGGTGTCTGTTCTCGACTGTCTTTATATCGACAGTCTCCTATTAACAAGATCTTCAATTCTCGTTTATATTCTTTCGGCTAAAAAATCAACCGATCTAAAATTCAATTTATGAGTTGTGTACTACTACGCTAATCTTAGAAAAAATCATAACTTCCTCTAATGAAGTCAGATATAGACGTTCTCTATATGCATGCTCTCAGTTTAGCGACTACTACAACTTTCGTTTAGACCACTAAGGGTGAAAAGTAACCTAACAAAAATTACTTTTTACGACGTACGTTGCTATATCGGTTTGAATCGCGAACTTCAATGGGTCATGATTTCTTGGTTATAAGTCTGATTTAAGCGTTCCTTTTATCTCTGGAATCCTTTTCACGTGTAACATCCCGGATTTCAGGTATTTTCAAATCCTTCCCTTGGTTTTTAAATATGTCATGTTGGTCCTTGGATTAGTTGGAAATAGCCCTAAGAAGCCCTAGTGGCAAAATGGTAATTTTGGGGTAGGAGGTGTATGTTGGGCGTACTACGACACGCTCTAGTACGTTGGGCGTACACATGTGTACGTTGGGCGTACTAGTGTCCGGGTGAAAACCTAAATTTTAGGGTTTAAGGAGTATTTAGACATCTTTATGGACCATTTACCCTTATAATTTCAGCCTCCAAGTCCTTGAGTTATTCTTACAAAACCCTAACCCCCTTGAGTGAGATTGAGAGCCCTAAAGTGTATTCTTGGTGATTTAGAGGAAAGGGAAGTGCATCAAGAATCTTGGAAGCTTGAATCAAGGTTTGGATCTGGGAGTTTGGGTTCCTTCTCCATCATCTAAAGGTATAAAGTTCATACCTTTATGGTTTAATTAATAAATCTCTTGTTGGGTTCTTTTTATGCTTCTTTTTGGTCCCAAATTCTCCATCTTGAGCACGACATGTTCTGGATGTTTTGAGTTGTCCT